AATCTCTTCACCATCCATCCTGATGCTGCCAATTGGTCCTGATGTTAGATGGATCTTAGCTGAAAGCAGGGAATACCAGAGGAATGTCTATCTGTGCTTCATTGATTATGCAAGGGCGTTTGACTGTGTGGATCATAACAAACTGACTCTGAGAAGAATGGGAATCCCAGAACAATTAACAGTACCAAGACGAAATGTTCTGGGATTCCCATTCTTCTCAGAGTCAGTTTGTTATGATCCACACAGTCAAACGCCCTTGCATAATCAATGAAGCACAGATAGACATTCCTCTGGTATTCCCTGCTTTCAGCTAAGATCCATCTAACATCAGGTACAATATCCCTAGTACCACGACACCACGGCCCCTTCTAAACCCAGCCTGGACTTCTGGCAGTAAAGACTAAAACAAACACAGCTGAAATTATGAGCATGGCATAGGCCTGAGAGCTTTTATCTATTCTATTGTTGTTGTTGTTGTGTACCATCGAGTCAGAACCAATCCTCCAGTAGGTTTTCAGAAGCAGTATTTAATTAGGGAGAAGAACCCCTGTACCTTTCAATTGGCAGCACAGTTCCTTACCACTAAATTACAGCGTTGCTTTGAGTCAGACTGGACAGCATATAACCACAGATGTATACAACAAGATGCAACAAACTTGGAGAATTTAGAAGCATAATGTTGAGTGGAAAAGGTCATTTCAGATTACATAAAATATCCTTATGCAGCTCATTCATCAAATTAAACATTTCACTGGCATTGCCTTGATTCTGATCCACAGCTGGCGCTCCACCTGGTTTCCAAATCGCAAGGGAGGAATGAGACTGCCCATCTTTCTCCAGATCAGCCACAGGTGGAGTCGCACCTCCACAGCCTTTCAGCCTTTGGGTTAGTGCAATTCCCTACAGGCTACGTTATTAAACACAGAAGCGCACAATTTTGTAAAAGGAAGGATTAAACGAAAAATAAAGTGTTAATCTCTGCAGGAAGTAAGGGGATGAGATTGGGTAAGTATTTCCAAGAACTTTGACGATACTCCTAAGATTACTGCTGTTTCTAGGTGTGTATCCCTTACTTGATTTCTTTGAACTGTGGTGTTGGGAGAAAAAGAGTACTACTGAATGTCCCATGGGCTGCAGCCAGAGTGCTGCTTGCTGGCGAAGAAAGCTTTGTCTCACATACTTTGCGCATGTTGCTAGGAGAGGTCATTTCCTGAGAGAGGAAAATCATGCTTGGAAATGAGGAAAAGGCAAAGGAGAGAAAAGACCCTCGACCAGGTGGATTGACACAGTGTAGGCTCAAATGTGTCAAAAGATTGTGAGGATGCCACAGGATAGGCCAGAGTTCAGATCTGTTGTTCATCGGATCGAGTCGTTATTTTTCTTGTTGCGTACTTTTGATTTGGAATCGACCCACAGCTGACCCTCTAGCGGGCTTTCAGAGGCAGTTAATGGTATGGAAGGAGACTGCCCATCCTTTTCTCATGGATTTTGAGCCGCCTGCCTTTGGAATTGCAGGGCAGCTTCTTGCCACTGAGCTACCAGAGCTCCCTTGAGGGCACCTAGAAACAACAACAAATCCCTTTTTTAACAGATTTCCATATCAAATGTTTACTTAGGTTTCTAAACTACATTCTATGAGGTAATAAATGTCTTCCTCGCTTCTCTAAAAAATTAATTCAAAGACCGAAACACACGCTAAACCCACCACCTAAAGACGCAAAATAACCCTACATTCCACGCCTCTGGAAAGCACATCACTTCCGCTTCCACCTTCCTAGCCCCGCCCACCTAGTAGGAAGAATGTTTTCCGGTCCTCCCGCCTATAGGTGGCGCTCTCAGCCTCGTAGTGCCACGAAGGCCTCCCGCTAGGGCTGTCCTTGAGGCGCCTGTTAGTTTAGTCCTAGAAGAGACGTTTGTAAATTCGATCGGCCAGACAACTGTCGTACAAGATATTGCTCCGGAGAGTAACGTTTAAACTCCACGCTGGTCGGGTGCCACTCATATTAAGCCCTGCCGCTGTGGTGCGTGGTTGTCAGGCAGAGTAGAGTCAGCCTCTGGGTGCGAAAGGGAAGGCCCTGGCCCTCTTTCTCCTGTGAAGACGTAGCTGCGGGTGGCTCTGGTGGCAGCGGTGGCCAAGATGTCGACCAAGAATTTCCGAGTCAGTGACGGGGACTGGATTTGCCCTGACAAAAAGTGAGTATGTGTAGGATTCCCGCATAGGGTCGAGGTTTGACATGGCAGTTTGACATCGACTCGGAATTTCTTCTTTTCGTTTCCCCGTGTGCCAAAAACCGGATTGAGGCGGCCAGTTGCGGGGTCTTAGGCGGGAAAGAGGGTCCTATCGCCACACTGGCGAGTCATTTTGGTAGTCTTTGTTTGGGATATGTTCCTAGCGTCTTCCCGACATTGTAGCTCCCAGGAGCCCCCTTTTCTGGAAGCGAGAATGCCAACCTTTTTACCCACCCCCACCCCACCGGGGGTAGGTTTCAGACATAAGGAAATCTATCTTCCTGGTCCTGGCTAGTTTGGTGTTGGATCTCTCCCACGTGACTTTTCCACCCCAAGAACTTTGGGGAAGCTTTGCTTTCTTGGACGCGACCCTTTGCGTCTTAGGAGTTGGCTGTGTTTTGCTGTTTTGTTTTTTAACCACACTTTTCTGTTCTTTACCTATCACTGCTCCTTTTGGGGTTTCCTTTTTTTTTTTTTTTTTTTTGCACACGGATTTACATTATTCACAAGGACTGAGCCTTCCACCTAGTTAGAGCCTGGAGGCAGAGGCCTGTTTGGCCTAGGGATGCCTGCAGCAGAGAAGCACGTGTTCAGTGGCTTTGCCTTTTGATAATTGCTGCTTAAGCCAGCTTGCTCTGTTAAATTGTTAGCTTTTATTGAAGGCGTTACAAATAGGGGTATCCTTATGGAAAGGTAGTGCTGAAACTAGTTTAGTAATTAGCAGTCATATAAAAAGCCCTTTGATCCTTTGTTGGTAAAGAGGTAAAATTTTGTGTTTTTTTTACATTTTGAATAAACACTAGAGTCGCCCCACTTAGAATAAATAAATACAGAACCACCATATAGGCATAAAGTGTGTTGCCAGTCTTCATAAATTGATAATTACTGGTAATAAAGTACTCACTGCAGTTCTCATTGTGTTTCCAAGGCTGTAAAGTAGCAATGTGAGGAGACAACCCTTTTTTCTCCAGTGGAACCATCGGAGACACCCAAACCTTGGGGCTAGCAGCAGAATTCTAAGGATGTATGCCTGGCAGCTGGTAGTAATTATTCATGTCATCCAATCAAAACACACTCATAGGAACTCGTTTCTGAGGCTGTAAATCCCTATTTCCTGGGAAGGAGCTACTTGCCTGAACTGTCAGAGAAGCGTGGCTTTTGTGTTGGCAGTGCAGCTCTTCACAGACTATGCCACTAGTGCTCCTCATTGAGAATATCATTTTTTAGAAGTAATCTAGAAAGAGATGGGCAGTATCTTTCAGTAGAAATTACAGCCCAGTAAGAAATCTGATAGAAGGTGCTTATGGGTTGGTTCCAAGTTGGCAGCAGTGAGTTCAGCTGATGGTTCAGTGGTGAAGTCCACCAGCAGCTTACAGAAAAAATGTAATCTGCTTCCTTAAAGATTTAGACTCACTGCCATAAAATTTATTCCAAATGCCAGCAATCTTGCGTTGAGTTTCTTGGAAGCAGATGGTGGATTTCTCTTTTTCTCTCTCTGAGCAGATAATGGATTTAAACCTTTGGTTTAACAGCTCAGTACATGGATTACCCCACAAAAGTGCTCCACCTTAAAGATTATAGCCTTGGAATCCCTGTGGATTTTCTTTGGAAACTGTCCTGTAGAGTTGCTGTAAATTGGGACGGGTTCTGTTCATATTTTCACAATTCAAATGAAAATTTGAGTTTTGTGTGATAAAGAAATGGTCCTCCATTACATACCTAACTAGATGACCTGAAGGAACTGCAGTCTAAGGAGTACAAGTTTTAGATGATTAACATTGTTATGAGTGGTAGGTTGTAATAACATTTTAGAGTTCTTTACATAGCACTCCATTGTATAGTATGCATAATGTTCATTCTTCTCAGCTTTTATTTTAATGCTCTATTTAAAAGTACTTTTTTTATTTTTCAAGTTAAATAATTTTCCTTCAGAAGAGCTCTGGTGATGCTTTGATTAAGGCATTCCGCTGCTAATTAGAAAGTTGTTGGATTGAACAATAGGTAAAGGGTAAGACATTCAGCTTCTCTAAAGGTATACAGCCTTGAAAACCATAAAGGATTGATCTGTTGTGTCCTGTTAGGACTCTGCAAATTAGAATTGTTTCTGTGGTATTTACTGTTCTTTTACTGGTTGGTATGCAGGTACATTATTAAAAACTACAATGTTACGTGGCTGTCTCTAGTTGGTTCCAACTCATAACAATTCTTTGTGCAAAGCTTAACAACTAAACACAGTTTAGTCTTGCAAATTCTTTAGCTATGTTTGAGCCCATTGTTGGAGATACTGTGTCAGCCAGGCCGAGAGCATCTTCCATTTTTCCTCTCCATCTTTCTTTTTACTCTCTACTTTTCCAAGGATGATCGCTTCCTGTAGGAACTTGTGTCAGAAGTGCCTGAGATGAAGTCTTATGGTCCATTCAAGGAAGATTTTATATACTTCTTCCAACACAGGGGTTTTTTCCCTTCTCTGATATTCCATGGTACATCGTATTTTCTAACACCATAATTCAAATGCATCATCTTTATTGTCTTGCTTTCACAGGTGACCAAAAAAATAACTGGCTTTGTTTAGGCACACCTTAGTCCTCGAGCTGTCATCTTTACTTTTTTAGTTTTAAGAGATTTTTTTCATGATGATTTATCAGATAGTTCAACTTCTTCAATTATTTGATCAGCATACAGATTAAATAACCATGTCAAAAAACTATAATTCGTCTAAATACTCATCATTTTTCCTTATTTTAAACCATGCAGAATCTCTTTCTGTCCAGACAGTTGCTGCTTTGGCTATGTATGGATTCCATGCGAACATAGGTGTTCTAGAATTCGTATTCTTGGCAGTGTTGTCAATAATTTGCTATGAATCACAAAATTTACTGATTATTATATGGTCTGTTAAGCACAGGTAAACCATCTTGATGTTCTCTGCTTTCAGCCAACACCTATCTGGCATCAACAATGATATCCCTTCTTGACCACTTATGAATCTTTGTTTCTGGCAGTTCCCTGCCAATATACTGCTGAAATGATTTAGAATTATCTTCAGCAAATTTACTTGCATGTGATATTAAAGAAATTTTACACATTCATTTGCATAACCTTTCTTTGGAACAAACACAAATATAGATCTCTTTCAGTAAGTTTACCAGGTTGCTGTATTCCAGTAACAAATTATAGCTAACACTGAGAAGAATGGGAATCCTGGGACATTTAGTTATGCTCATATGAAACCAATATCTAGACCAGTAAGTTTTTGTCTGAACAGACAAGAGAACACTGTATGGTTTAAAACCAGGATGAGTGTGTGAGGGTTGTATCTTTTCAGTCTATACCTTGAGTAAAATATTAGCAAAACTGAGCTCTATGAAGAAGAATGTGGGGTCAGGAATAGAAGAAAACTCATCACAATATATAATGCAGATGACACAGTCTTGCTTGCTGAAAGTAAGGAAGATGTGAAATGCCTGTTACAGAATAACTAATTACTGCCTTCAATATGGATTGCATCTCAAAATCAAGAAGATAAAAATGTTTACCATTGGACTGATAAGCAGTAACATTATATCTGGAGAAAATAATTGAAGTTGTCAAAAATTTAATCTTCCATGGATCACTAATCAGCAGCACCCTTGGTACCAGCAGTCAGGTAACCTGTTGCATTGTGAAAGTGTTGTCAGGGCCCTCTTCAAATTACTGAGGAGCAGTGTCTGAACTGTGGTGTTGGAGAAAAGGGCTGGATATACCATGGACTGCTAAAAGAACAAACATAAAATGTGTAGCTAGAATGCTTCTTGGAGGCAAAGATGATAAAGCTTTGCCTCATATACTTTAGATACGTAGCTAGGAGAGGCTATTCCTTGGAGAAGGATATCATGCCTGAAAAGGTGGAGGGGGTGGCAAAAGAGATGAAGGCCATAATCCAGTGACTGCAGGAATGGCCTTGAGTTTATCAGCGATGATGAAGATGGGACAGGTTTCAAATCTGTTGTTCACAGGGTCACTATAAGTTGTACTTCATTCAACACCACCTGATAACCTTGAGGCCTTGTTTTCTAAAGATGCCCTCAGTGCAGCTAAAATGTTTTCAATACCATGAGTTTTTAGTCAGATACTGTCTCAAGTAGTAGAGTATCAACCAGTACTTTTTGGTAATGACTTTATTTTGTCATACATAGGGTCAACATGAGTCACAGGGGACTTGACGGCACATAGCAATAACAATAACCCCTCTTTGGATGTCATTCTTCTGGGTTTTGGGGGGGTGTTTTCCTTAGTATTCAGCTCATAGAATCTATTATTAAAATATTAGTTTTTTTCTTAGATTCTTTGCCTTTTAGAAATGCCATTTGGTTTTCAAGCTCCATTTTTCTTGCTCGTTTCATTATAACACTGTGTTCTCAACTCACCTTTTACAGTTTTCTGTTCCACTCATTAATCATTTCTTTAGCTACTCAGTGTTTAAGAGTTCCCTCCTTCCCCCCCCCCCCCGATTCTTCTTAATGATGTTTTGTTGTATAATATCTTTGATGTTAACGCATGTAAGTTATCTTTGGTCCATTATGTTAAACATGTCATTCCAGTTTTGATGGTATATGATCAAGATTGTACTTTGCCTCTCTTGGACTTGTTTTTATTTTCTTTAGCTTCAATTTGCCCTTGTATTTGGGTTTTTTTAAAAAGCCTATTCATCTACTCTTGCAGTTGGCGCCTGACTTTGTTCTGACTGATGTTAGTAAGCTTCTTCATTGTAAATTTTTACAGATGTGGTCAGTTTGATTTTTGTGTGTTCCATCTGTCCAAAATGATGTGTTGAGTTACCGTTTATGTTGTTGAGAAAAGGTAGTAAACAGGTTCTTAATAGGTCTTGTGAAATTCTGGTATGCAGTTTCCAGCCTGCTCCTTCTCTTTTTCCAGCTTTTTTATTCAAATTGCCAATAATTATCAATGTGTCTTTAATTGCATATTTGGCCAACTTGAGAAATTGGTTTTTAAAAACCTTCAGTTTCTTCATCTTTGGTGTTATTGTCGCATACTGTTGAGTCAGAACGGATTCATGGCTCTAGTGGGTTTTCAGAGGCAGTAAATCACACGAGAGATGATTTCCCATCTTTGTCCTGCAATGCAGTTGGTTGGTGTGTTTGAACTGTGTGCGTTAGGGTTGTTAGCACAGCTGCTTAAAACTAAGCCACATTAGTGGTTGTAAAAACAGTGTGATTGGCCTTGGAATGACCATATCTGATCTCCACTGCCTCCACAGGGGGAAGAATCCCTTTCTTTAACCTCAGCAGCACAACCAGTTCTCACGAGGTCAATCATGCCTCTATCTGTGCATCATCTTCTATCAATTATAAAACCAGCCATCCCTTCCAGAGCTCTTGCTACTCTGCTGCTGGGTCCAGTAACACATGGTAGTGGGCACACAGAATTTGCATACTCAAGTACCAGTCGAATTGACTATGGCTCATAATAACCCTAAGAACAATGGATCTGAACCCTATCCTGTGTCAGTTCATCTCATTGAGGATCTTCCTCTTCTTTGCTGACTGTCCACCTTTCCAAGCATGATGTCCTTTTCCAAGGACTAAATCCTCCTAATAGCTGCCCAAAGTATGTGAGACTCCACTGCCATATGGTGATCACAACCAACTCTTAACTGACCCTCCTCCAGAGTTTCCAAGACTGAATTACATTATGACTTTGCCTGTCTTTCTACCAAGGAACCACTAAGTAACTAGAGAGCTTAGCATGTAACAGCATAGTTTTTCAGTCAGGACAGCTTAGGCATGCTTGCTGGTTCTCTGACCTTCATTCAGATTTTTGAATTTGAGCCAGTGTTACAAAACTCTTCATCCTGCCAGTTATGGCACCCCACACATTCACTTGTCCTCCAACAGGCTTGGACGAAAGCCCTGGCACTGCCTTCATGGAGTAGCAGTTTTCAGTTCAACTCTTATCTCGCATTGGTCTCTGATTTTCCACCACCTTTGCTGCTGCTGCTATGCACTGTCTGCTGCTTTCTAAGTTGGTAAAAGTCAAAGCCCATAATGATAAAGTGGTATTTAATATCCATAGTCCACTGCATCAAAGGAGTTGATACAGTGCAGTATACTTAAAATATGATTGCTTTGAATAATAGTTACTTTATTGGTTTTCCTTGTAGATAAAATGAATGGTTGATAGTGTTGTACTTGAAGTTTTTTGACAGTAATTGTGATGCATTTGCACTTCAATTTATCTCTTTCGTGTCATCATATACCATATGCATGTCCTCAGTTCAGAATTACTGATAGTCCATTTCAGTTCATTAATGCCTAGGATGATGATGATAATATGTGCCCTCGTGTCGCCTGCAACTCATAGGTGCAGCAGCCCTAAGGCCTGCTCTTTCATAAGCCAACTTCATGGTCTCTGACACTCCTACCCCTGTTATCCCACTCACTGAGTCAATCCATCTCATCCTGGGTCTTCCTCTCGTGCTTTCCCTCTATCAAGCATGATATCCCCCTCCAAGGACTGGTCTCCTTTCAACCTGAGCATATGCTTAGGATATTAAACTTTATGTGTCCCATTTAATTTTTGACAACTTGAAATTTTTTCTCAATTCATACTGTACATTCCACATTCCAATTATTAAAAGATAGTTGCAATTTCTTCTCTTTTAAGCTCATACCACATCAACAAATGAGGGTCATGGAGGCGTTACTCACTCCATTCATGTTGTTCTCTTACTCATTGCCATTGAGTCAAAATCACCTAATTGTGTACCCTCTAGGGAACTTTTGGAGATTTTAAATCTTAATATTGTAGTATTTTGAGACTAGTAGTTCTATTTTTTTTCTTTCACAAAACTGAAATTTTTGTTGTCGTTAATATGATTGAGGTAGAGCTTAAAAGTTTTGTATTCTAGATATATCACAAGAATGTATTAAAATCCTGTAAATGCTTTTTTACTTTATTTTCAGATGTGGAAATGTAAACTTTGCTAGAAGAACCAGCTGCAATCGATGTGGACGGGGTAAGTATTTAATGTATTCTATTAAGATTATATATACAGATACTTTATTTTACCAGATTCATATTACATTATATTTTTATTTTCAGAGAAAACAACTGAAGCCAAGATGATGAAAGCTGGGGGCACTGAAATAGGAAAGACACTGGCAGAAAAAAGCCGAGGCTTATTTAGTGCTAATGATTGGCAGTGTAAAACGTATGTCTTCCAAATTATTGTCAACTCTGTTTTCCATAATTTGTCCAATCACTACTTGTCAAATAGCTTCAACTCTTATTAGTCACATGGTCAAACAAAAGTAACCTTTAAATTAAAGATGTTTGTTAATTGATACTTAATCTGTATCTGATATTTTAATGTTACAAATTTTTCTAAATTTTTTAGCTAGAAATATTTGTTGCCACAATGGATTATTTTTTTTTCCTTTTTTTGTTCCAGTGAGGAAGTACTTAAAGTGAACAAGTGGCCAAAAAAAAAAAAAGGGTTATTTAAAAGTACTGAGGACTGCTTTTTATTTACTGGAAAAAAAAATCTCACAAAAAATTTTACCTGTCATTGTGCATGTCTTCAAAGTCATTTTCAGATCATAACTTAGTTTTTATAAATGTCTTCTAATTAGTTTTTCTGATATTTTTAATTTTTAAATTGGCATTAAGTCTGTAATAATTTCCCGGTTCTAACTTTTCTGCTGCACAGATAAATCACATACATAAAAGAGACTTGTTACTTTTGAGGGATTCTTTGTGGCCCTACGGAACATAGTAGAACTTCCCCATAGTTTTCAAAGCTGCTGCCTTTATGGATGCAGACCACTAAATCTAATTACTCATGGATTTAAATGACCAGCCTTTGGGTTACCACTCAGGCACTTGATCTAGCACTTTCAAGGCTCCTTTAAATGAAAGAAAATGGAATCACATAGGGATCTCACCTTTCTGATCCTGTAGATTTTTCTAGCAATAGTTTTAGGGAGTGTGGATTTGGTACATTGTGAAGTTCAGTGCTTAAACTAATTGCTAAATAATATTAACATTATTTAGAGGGTATAACTTTTAACTCTTATTTGAGATAAACTGGGAAATTTGTAAAACTTTTCATTTAAAATTCTTTTTCTCCGTGGTGATGTGTAGAGTGTTTTGTGTTAGACTGTTAGGAGAAAAGTTCAGCAGTTAGAATCCACCAACCACTCCAAAGGAGAAAATAAACAGTCTTCTGTAAAGATTTATAGACTCGGAAACCAAAGACTGTCTAGGCCAGTGTGCATTTCTTTCCATGCAGTATCACTTTCCTCCATGGTAGTCTTTCATTTTGTTGTTAGGTGCTCCTGACTTTATTTCATAGTGTCATCTTGTGGCAATAGAACTGCCATAAAGGGTTTTCTAGGTTTTAATCTTTATAGAAGTGGATCACCACATCTTTTTTTCCTAAAGAGCTAATGAGTGGATTTTAATACTCACCCTTTTTTTTTTTTTTTTTGGCTTTAGCAGCCAAGTACTTCTCTATTATAACATAAAAAGTCCAGTATTCTTTTTAAAATTTTTATTTCAGCTTTGTAGACAGTTAACATTTAGTATTTTCCTGTTTTGTACTACAGGTAACTAATTTGATATTTTTCCTTTTAAAGTTGCAGTAATGTGAACTGGGCTAGAAGATCAGAATGTAACATGTGCAATACTCCAAAATATGCTAAGTTAGAAGAAAGAACAGGTAAGATACAGTTATATTGAAGAAAATTATTATAATAGAAATAAACACTGAATTGATAATTATGTCAGTGTTACGTAAAAGATGAAGGTTCTAGCTTATCTTTTTTATTTTACATAGAATTTATTTCTTTAGGATGGGGAAAACTTTAATGTCCATTAATACTAATTGAGTAGCTTTTAAAAAATACTGATTCCAAAGAATTATTGAAGATTTTTGTGGAATGCTGGTACTTTTCAAACTGATGTTTTTGGAAACCTTTGGCTTAAAGAATGCCAAAGCTTACCTCTGACTGTTATGAAAGGTGAGGTGAAAATATTAACTTAATATAATTCAGTTTCCCATTGTTAGTGAGTGTTTAGCCCAACCACAGCTGAATACCTCAAACCTTAATTGTATATTACTCTTAACCTAAGGCTTCTTTCTAGGTATAATCTTTCTTTAAAACCTTAATTCTTTTTTTTTTTTAAGTTTTTTTTTATTGGGAAAAACATA